TGGAAGCTGGGAACTGGCGACTTTGTAGTACAACTTGAGCACGCGGACTCTCTGGGGAGCTGGAAGACGAGAACTGGCAACTTTCTAGTACAACTTTAGTACACGGAGCAATCTGTGGAGCTGGAAGCTGGGAACTGGCGACTTTGTAGTACAACTTTAGTACGCGGAGTATCTGGGGAGCTGGAAGATGAGAACTGGCGAAGTTGTAGAACAACTTTAGTACGCGGAGCATATGGGGAGCTGGAAGATGAGAACTGGTGACTTTGTAGTACAACTGTAGTACGTGGAGCAGTCTGTGGAGCTGGAACCTGAGAACTGGCGACTTTGTAGTACAACTTTAGTACGCGGAGAATCTGGAGAGCTGGAAAATGAGAACTGGCGACTTTGTCGTACAACTTTAGTACGCGGAGTATCTGGGGAGCTGGAAGATGAGAACTGGCGACTTTGTAGTACAACTTTAGTACGCGGAGTATCTGGGGAGCTGGAAGATGAGAACTGGCGACTTTGTAGTACAACTTTAGCACGCCGAGCAATCTGTGGAGCTGGAAGCTGAGAACTGGTGACTTTGCAGTGCAACTTTAGTACGCGGATGAGTCATCTCTCGCGGCTGAGTCATCTCTCGCAGCTGCTCTGGCGCCCCTGCAGCTGAGTCATGTCTCCCGACCACCCGGCTCTCTTAAAAGGTTGACACACACACACAGAGACCCACGCACTGCCTCAACTTACTCGGAGACACACACACAGACAGAGACTCATACACACACAGACATAGATACACACACACACAGAGACCCACACACTGCCTCAACTCACTCGACTTAACACTTCACACTGAACACTTAACAGATCACTCACACTCTGACTTCCTACGTGATGAAAAATGTTTTCGGGCCACTCGTCGTCTAGTTTGGATTTTAACTCCACCCTTGGCTACCCTATGAAGGCCCTTGATCTCACAATTTTGTTCTATAGGTTGTTTTCCCTCCTAACCTCATTTGCGGACGCAGCTGGGGCGGTAAGTGCAAGCTAGGGGCGCCTTCAGATGACAGCAGCGTGCTGGACGCCGCTGCGACCATAAATACTTACATACAGTAATGAAGCTCAGTAAATCAAATCCTCCTGATTTGGACGTGCTCAACACGGCGCCTCTTCACCATTGACAAGCCGCGTTGCCACCTCTCAGAAACCAGACGGGCCATCCTTGGGGGATCCTTGCGGCAGATGCGCGATGGCCCAGAGAATTGCTGAGTGCGCGAAGACATGTAGGTTTCCCGCATGGGATGAGGATTTCCATTGACCATGTCCTGCTCAGGACCTTGGGCCGAAAACGGGGTTCGGGGCTGCCATGCACCAACCAGTCTAACAAAGTCGAGCCTCGCGAAACCATCTGGGGCACCGTCTTGACAAGGAGTTCGCCACGGTGAACAAAAAAATCGTTGACAGTCGCCATTCAAGACTGGGAGGGGCGTTCCTCCCCATTGATCTTACAGAATCGGCCGCACTCATGGGACACAGGTGGCTGTCAGCACTTTCATGACAAACCCTCACTGGCTTGGGGGCGCGAACAGGTGAGGAACGCACTCTTAAAAGAAGCACCTCACCGGGTCCACGCGGCAGGACAAGGGGTGCAGGATGGCGTCACACGAGGCAAAAAAGGCTAGAAAACTGGGCGGGTACATTCCAGGCATTGAAGGGGTGTCGCTTTGTGCTCAAGCTACCACCTCTTCCCGTGAGCGCCGAGTTCCTTGCTTCAAGCCTGCATGTTTTTGTTCCACTGGCTTCACTTGAGGCCAAAACAAGGCCGCGCCACTGTCACACAAGCAAAAAATGTTGGCTAGAAAAAAAGGGTGGAGCCTCCATGCGGGAGCTTAACTCTGGAAAGTGGTCCTTTCGTCCTCCTGCTATGCTTGTGAGCCCGGCGTCCTGAAAAGCAACTCTTACCCCTGTCCTGTTGTCCTCTTCTTGACCTCCAGTTGTCCTCCTGTTGAGCTCTGGCCACGCTGGCGAACCCGTGGCCTCCACTTGTTCTCCAACCAAGTTAGCTGCTTCGGTTCTTGTCCAGGCCTTGTCTGAGTCTGTGTGTCTGGCTTGGCCACGCCGTAGGCCTGTTGTCTGCCTTGTCCCGGCCTTACCCTCTGCTTGGCCACCCTTTTTCTCCGCGGCCTGTTTTCGTGTGGCTATGAATGCAACAGTGATGCAGCATGTGATATCATCCTCGGATTTTCTCGTGATAACATTTATCCGCCAAAAAAAGGCTGAAACTGTTTGGGGTCTATGCTGGCATAATTCACGGCATTCTTGCGAACGGAAGGCCAAAGTATCCAACAGTATATTCCAACTTCGCTATAATTATTGCTGCTGTTGTGCACAGGGTTGGCGCTGGAGCTACCATCTTAATTTATAGCACTGTTATTTCTAAATTTCTATCTGCCAGTCGTGCAGGCGCGCAAAGCAACAGAGTGGTGAAAGTGTGACCAAGGCGGTAAAAGAACAAGTCGCCATGGGCATTGACGCAGGGGGGGCCAGGGGTAAGAAGGCATCTCACCGGCGCCCCAGCCCCCGACTTCGAGGTCGAGGACAACGAGGCCACCAGGCCAGGAGCCCCTAGTAGCGCCCTTGTTCCTAGTAGCGATGTCCTTTGCTCCCAGAGGCATTTTCCAAATAGATATGCTGTTTGTCCAGGCAGGCGGTGAGCCCGCACGCTGCAGCGGTCAAACTCGCATGGCATCAACCGAGGAGTTGCGTGAAGTGGTTGTTTTCATTGCTGGATAGTTGTAGTTTCTGACCCTTGGTGAAAGAATGTTTTTCAGGTTGCAAGTTGTGCGATATGTGCTGATGTGGCTCGGGAAAAGTGACCAAGAGAGTGAAATCTGCATCCAATTTCAGAACGCGCCAGGGTGGAGTTCCTGAGAAAACAGGTTTTGAGTCCAAAAACAACTCCGGCTAGCAAGAGCCGTACTACTAGGAACAAGGGCTCCTGGCATCGCTACTAGGAACAAGGACGCTACTCCTGGCCTTACTACTAGGAACAAGGACGCTACTAGGAGCCAGCTTTGGTGAAAAGCTTGACGGCCAAAGATCGAAGTCGGCTGAAGGAGCGCACCTGCTATACATGCTCGGATCCGTCTGGCCGCTCCGACCAAGATAAACCCTGGTGACTGGACAAAGCCGGCTATCCTGCAAAGAGCGTGAGCGCATCGTAAATTTGTTGGAAGGGCAAGAGGCTCTGGCATGCTGGTGTTGCGTGTGTACTGCAGGCTGTTCAGACCAAACAGAGCGCGGCGGCTACACGTTGCCGTCGGAACCGGTTCCAGGAGGCTGCGCTGCGCATTGAGGGCCACACCATTTTGGCCTTTCTCTCGTGCGCAACATCCCTTCCCTCTCTCCTGGAGGACCGCTGGTGGGGACACCTCTGAGCGGTGTTGGAGGTCCTCCGTGAAGTCACCAAGGACTGGCACTCATGATAGGTTGCGGCAACAGTAACCACTGAAGAGGCAAGGAGCTGCAACACTGTCTGCTGGTTGGCTAAACGCCCCTAGTAGCGCCCTTGCTCCTAGTAGCGATGCCCTTTGCTCCTAGTAGCGTCCTTGCTCCTAGTAGCGATGCCAGGAGCCCCTAGTAACCCTAGTAGCGCCCTTGCTCCTAGTAGCGTCCTTGCTCCCAGTAGCGATGCCAGGAGCCCCTAGTAGCGCCCTTTGCTCCTGCTAAATTCATGCAGGCCAAAAAGGATGGAATGACATCAGTTGCGCCAGAGTGTTGATGGGGTGCGGTGCCCGTCTGGCTGCGATCGGGTTGGTGGGTAGGACAGCCAGTTCTTGGCTTCAGGCGTTAAGCAGAATTTCTCGAAAGTTCCAAAGTGTCTTTATTGACAAAGTGGAGTAAGTGCAAAGAAGAACGACATATTTAAAAAAAAATAGTAATAAATAAAAGTCGAGTAAGTGCAAAGAAGAACGACATATTTAAAAAAAATAGTAATAAATAAAATGAAGACAATAGCGTCCTATGTTCATATCATTTTTTCTGGATTTAGGACTTCTTTAATTGGTGAACTGGGCTGGCCGGGCTGGAGTCCCACATCATGCATAGAAGAGAAACAGAACATAACAGAACAAATGTTATGTTGCATGAGTTTGTGCAATAAAGAGGCAGAAAGTTGTGGAAACTGCCTCGTCGTGCCGTCACCAGTACCTCCTATTCTTGTCTACAATAAACCTACGTAAAGGCAGCTGACGTGCAATAGCAGGAGGCTGGAGGCTGGGGGTGGTCAATGCAACACAAGTCAAACAAGCAGGTTCAGCAAACATCCCGGCCGGGAACAAACCCAACAAGGACCCACAAGAAAGTATGCATGTTTTACCAGCACCTAGTCAGCTAAATCCAACGCTGCACAGACCATTGCTGGCTCAAAACCCTCCGCAATTTGCTGGCCAGACAAACACCCTTCTTCAGAGCAAAAGGAAAACACCGAGAAAATAGACAATGCCCAGGAACGCATGCTCGAAATAGAGGCTCAGGCGAACAAATGCAAGTTGGGTTGCAGTTGCGGAGACCAAAGCTATATTCAAAAGTTGAACTGGGATGTCGCCAAATGCGACACAAAGTGTCAAGGGTCATTGCGACGCAACGGTCTTGAGTCTTCAGATCCATTCTTTTGCGTGCCAGGTGCCAGGCAGGGCATCTTTTATACCATGTTGTGCAATAGGCTGGGTCAAGGGCACTGTTTCGTGGTGCTCTTGATGTATGAGTTGGAGTCGCTCTCAGGCCATTGTTAAGGGCTGGTTCTTTGAGGGCAAGGCTCGGCCTCCACAGTTTGTTTTCAGGAGCGTCTACTGATATGTGTCTAGTCTATTGCATCACTGCTGCCCAATGTGAGCACTGAGTCAAAAGCCTAGTCTTGCTGCGGGACCCGTCCGGCAGCGAACGCTTATTTCTGCTCAGGATGAGGCATCGGTCGGAGTGGTACTTTGACCATACACACTGCAGCAGCCCTCCTGGTTTGTTGTTGAAGAGTCAACTTACTGTCAGATTGATTCTGCCCACACTGCAGCTTCGTTCAATGCTTTGTTAGTTGCTTGCGTTTTCTGATGCAGTAAGCTGACTTCTCAACCTGACTGGGCGCTCACAGTTCTACGCCGACAGCGCGTCGGCGTTTTTGCTTCTTCCAGGGTGCTTGCTCCTCCAAAATGTGGTCTTCAAAATAACCATGGTTGATAAAGGATCGAAAAACCATGTTTGCCTTGAAGTGCTCTTGATGGTTTAATGTCTAAACCTTGGTTGTTGGTGGTGCTGTCATTTCAACAGCAAGGAAGACTCCTCGGCATCCTCCTCCCCACCCAGTAGCAGCATGGAGTAGGCCATGAGTCGCCGTTCCTGAGCTTCGTCCTAGCAGAAAAAGAACTCAGACACCTGACTTGCTCAAATCATCAGATAATATCCTATGTGTCCAACATGTGAAGTAGCAGTCCCCAAGGTCCTCTGGCGTAGCATTTGGAGTCCGCGGAGTCATCGGGGCCATGGGCACAGCTGGGCTCGCCGGCGGTGCACCAACCGGGGGAGGCGCTGGTGGCGGAGGTGGGGCCATGGGGGAAGACTCCAGTGACTGAGTTTCCTTTTGTAGGAGCTGCTTGATCTCGAGCAGTTTTTTCTCCTGCTCACTTTGTGAGATGACAGGTGTCATCGGAGTCATTGGAGTCGTTGGCGCTGGTGGGTATTTTGCAATTGCCTTCTTGGGTGCAACCAATCTGCGCCTTTTAGGCACCGGCTTTGGCACCGCTTTGGGTTGGCTTAGTACTTCAACTGAAAGTGCCGAATCTTGAGGTGCCAAATACGGATCCACCAAGACTTTCAGTGTGGCTTCCTCATCTTCATGAGACTCCTGTCTCAGATCAGACGGCGATGGTCTTCTCCTTGGATCGCGAGCTGTATCTGGCTGAGCTACAGCAGTTACATGTGCAGCACCTGCCGAAGCTGCAGCGGGCGGTTTCGCATCGTCCTTGTCCAGGTCTTCAACCAACTCCAGTTTGACAGCCAAAGAACTTTGTGCTGCCAGCGTCTTTGGTTTCACTGTTTGCTTTGGCTGCTTCTTGGCCTCAAGTTCTTGCTGCCTCTTCTCTCGCTCATCTTTTTCTCGCTGTGCTTTTTTCTGCTCCTTATCCCTCATCTCCTTGTCTCTTTGTTCCTTCTCTGCGCGCGCTTTCTCTTCTTCCACTTTCTGCTGCTCAATGTTTGTTGGCGGCTTGTCCATCTTGTCCCTCTTCTTACTCGCATCTGTTCGCTCCTCGACAAGCCGAGCGCAGCTGTGGGTCCAGAATGGGCTATATTTAAACTTCTCTTGACTTCTCTTGCTTTCCGTTCCTGGTGGCCCTTTCGAAAGCAGGACGAAACTGAACTTGCCCTCCCAAAACCTCGGTTCAACCTATGTCGCGCAACGCATTGCATTCCACTCCTTGGCCATCCGTTGTGTGCCCGAACTGCCACCTTGGTCAGAGAGGGTGGCATTTCATGATGGACAATGATGATCATAATGATCATAGTCTTGTCGCACCCAATATGCCACACAAAACTTCGAAAGAATATCAATCCAGAGTTTAGAATCAATCGCAAAGGAACACTAAAACAATGAGCCAGCAAATCCGTCAACCCCGATCTTTCGCAAAATGAACCATTGCATGCTCTCTGGAATTGGAAGCAACGCTTGGTGCAATTGTGTTCTTTAAGAAAGCAAGTGTCTAGGCAAGTCAATTTGCCAGGGCAAGGCTACGTTCTGCATCATGCTAGAATCGAATCATCTACTAAGGGCCATCGCTGATCCATGAACAAGCACGCCCTCACAACACTTCGACATGGAGGGATTCTGGTGGGACAGTCAGAGGTCCTGAGTGCACCACCATTGCTGCCACCCTGCAAAGCAAGCATCAAGAAACAGGCTTGCCATGCTTTTGCTGTGGCTCCTCCTTTAATTTTGTCCGTGTGCCCTTAGATGAGGTCAATCTCATTATCGGACAAAAAACATGCCTCCAACTGCAAAAGCAGCTTGTCAAACTCCTCCATCTCATCCTGCACAAAACTATTCACAAGTTTGGTCGAAAGTGAGACTTAGGGATCTGTGTCTTCGAATGCACTATATGGTCGCATAGCTTGATCTGGGCAAAACGTTCCAAGCAGAACTGTCCACCAAGGGTGGCGGTGGAAGAACTTTTACTGGAGCTGCTCGAGCTATGGGCATCCTGAGCTTTTTTCAAAATTCAATTACAGTACAATCAGGAAATTTAAAGAATCACTCCAAATTCATGAGCACACGAGCAAACACTCTCATTGATGACTCATTCGCTAGCTCATGTCTGGGCAATTGGCAAAGGTGCACCTGAAAGAAAGGAAGGATGGAACACTTACTCTTTGCTTTTAGATTTCCTATGTTGCATTCGGCACCTAAAATGTCTTCTTCCACACCTGCAGCAGCAGGAGGGACAGCTTTTGCAAGTTTCTCTTTGGCTCTGGGTAATCAATAGCGGGTACAAAGCATCACTCTGAAAAACATGTGCAAATGTGAGAAAGCATCAGCATTGAACTCTTGCGAACCACCCTTCTTCCACCTTATCTAGTTCATATGCTTCTAAAATACTGGGGAGTCATTAACAGCGAATTGCCTCCCTCATCTCGACTGTGATCCATACTTTTTCAAAACAAGGATTGACTCACACGCTGAGCCTGCTGGCTCTTCTGGGGCTGGAAGTGCCAGTGGGATGTTTGGCACTGATTCTGAGCTTTCCCGTTTCTCCATGCCTGAGTGGAGGTTGAGAGTCTACACAATCGAGTTTCCCTGTGCACATCAAAGCTCTTTGCACATGCAGAAATGGACTTCTGGTTCAGCCTTCTGAACAGCACACTCCTTTTCCCACCGCGAGCCTTCGTAGCAGTCTTGTACAGATCCATTGTCATTCACACAGGCAGGCCACAGGTCATGAGCAAAATATTTTTAGAGACCCAAGTTACGTTTGTATGAAGTAGGTATTGGACACTGGATGTGTAGCTTCATTAACGATTGTCATGGCTGACAAAGACCTGTGGACTCAAAACGGACGCTTTTGTTGCTTCTGTCCTTCCTTATATGAGCACATGAGCCCCTCTAGCTCAAGAACTCCAGTCATTCGAAATGAAAGCTGCATGTTCACAGCCCATCACACTGGCTTGATCCTGAAATGCAGTCCGATCAGGCTGAACACAAAGCACTTCAGATCCTGGACCAGGTAGTAGAACACTCGAAGTCCTTCTGGATCCTTGGAAGCCTGCACATCTGCTAAGGAACCAATCTTGGATGTTGTGAAGGAAATGTGCTCTTTGCCGCAAACGACCTCGAGTTCCTGTCGACCAATGCGATCCGGGGCAGGCCAGTGATTGTCATCCTCCTTCAAGATCTCACTGTCCTCAATCATCTTCCTGAGCTCTTTCATGACTGCCGAAGTGACGTGCGCCTCCTTGCGGATCATGACATCATTTTTGTAATTTGAATTGTTTGCATAACGCAGTCGCCCGTCTGGTCGGAACTCAAACTCCAGGAATTCGTGCCCAAACTTGCCCTTGTGACCAACATAGTAGCGCACGTAGAAGTCTTCCTCCTCAGCCATGGCCAAATGCGTCCCGTAAAGCTTGGACTTCGGCTGAGCCAAGACTGCTTTCACTGCGGATGCACAAACATACAATCAGCACTTTAACTCCAATGCTTGTTTCGTCAACAATCCTGGATGATCCTGGATGATTTTGCAGCTTTCTGCAAGTTCTCTCTTCAATGTGAGACTAGTGTGAGCCTATTTTGTGCGTTGAAACAGGTCTCCAACTTGGAGGTACCCAGGCACCAGGAGTAGGGCCTTCCGATGCGACGGCCTCAATCAAGTCATATCCATTCCCTACTTTGCCAAACATGACTCTGTGTTTTAAGCTTTTAGTAGCTTGTTACTAGCAGTAAGGCCAGGAGCCCCTAGTAGCGTCCTTGCTCCCAGTAGCGATGTCAGGAGCCCCTAGCTTCTGGCTCCTGGGACCTAGGACTCTGTGCTTTAAGAATTTATCTCTGTGCAATTGTTTCTCTTTCCACATATGTTTCAAAGCCCTGACAATATCATCCAGCACGAAGTCCGCTCCAGGCGCTGTGCCGATCGGGGAACTTCCGGTGGAACCCATCCAGGAGCAGCTTGCGCCCAGTAAACGGCCTTGCTGAAACTGACATGTGCTGTCGGCCTTGACGCTGCAACACTCTAGAGGTTTATCAAAACAAGCCGCTGAAAGATCGAATTGTCCGTTGTCAATGAGAAGAATATCGAGTACCGGCAATCCAGGAGCAGAATCAGGTCTATCGTTCAGCATCCGGACATAGTTTGCAAACAGGAGCCAGTGCCAGCGCTCTTTTGTTCTACCCTACGTGTCAAGAAGCCAAAGCAGCTTGCAAAACATGTCCAAAAGCATCTTTACTGTGCTACATTACAGCCCAGCACCCCAAAATAGCACGGACTGGACCAACTCCAGTCAAATAGCAGTCCCCCGTGTTTCCTTTTCCAACCTTCAACAAACAGATTCCCGGGCGTCATGCCCGTTGAATAGGTGAAACTGATTTAGGCTTGCCGGTGGCCCGGTGTTGCTGGTGCTGGTCGTGCTAGCGGGGGGAGGAAGCGAGAGGGCGGTCCTATTGATTTATCACTACCAGGCCCCCAAATCAATCATTAATCACTGCGGAGCACCTAGAATTGCTGTTTGGTCCGGAACAGGCAGTTCAAGCTACCCCTTTGCTTCGCAAAGCAAACTCAAGGTAGCCCTTACCAGGATAGGTTTTGTAATTGGTGTTGCTGGATCCTTAAAAACTGTGGACTGTTGATATGTGTTTGTTCTTGTTCAGTCTATTGGTGGGTTTAGTTGAGAGTTCAAGGATTCTGCTTGCCGATGCCTAAATAGAATGACACCAGCATCGACCCCCAAACAGCATGTGTTCAGTTGCTCGCAACAGCGAGTGCTTTCAAAAATCGCAGATTACATGCCGCGAGACGTTTAAATGATTTTCGCGAACACATGTTGTAACTACATTTTTCAAAAGAGAGTGGGGGACTGTGAGAGTGCAGTTTTTTTTTGTGCTTAAAAAAGTGTTTGGTATCATTTGATGCTCGAGATATGCAAAGATCCTTGTTTTCACTCTAGGGCAGAAGATACCACTCTACTCTAGCATGGGGCCTGGGTGTTGGTTTTCCCAAAATTTTAGGTAAATGCTTCAGTCGTAGCCCCTCTCCATATAAACACGTATATATATAATCTATTCCTGCTCTCTCTATATGAACAAATATATTATGTATTCCTGAATCAGGGTCATTTATTGTTTTGGAAGCAGCAAGCAGTCATTCAGATGGTTTTGAACAAAATAATTAGGAAAGAAGCAGGCCATAAAAGTGTCTCTAGATCGCTGCTTATAATTATGTTTAGATTTGGAAAAATTTAATATAAACGCTTTTATGTTACAAAAGATTCTCTATAGATTTCTCGGATAATCATGTTTAGATTTAAACAAGTATATAGAAACCGTGTATGTTAAAAGCGTTATTCTAGATTTCTGCGGGTAAGAGCTTGCATTTTCAAAGTTTTCCTCTGGATCTCCGGGCAAGTAGATATCCCATATATGTGTGTTTTCATGAAATGAAAGCTCTTGAAAGAAAAACATATTTATATATAGCATGTTTAAATTGGCATGACCATTTCCAGAGATCCAGAGGAAAGCTTTTGAAATGAATTTTTTTATATATTTCTATTGTAGAAATGATCATCCCCAGAGATCTAGAGGGAAGCTCTTGAACTAGAAGCTTGTACATAAGACAATTTTAATATGTCTAAAGTATTTCCAGCGATTACTGTAAATAAACAAAATACAACTATTTATTTCAAAAAAATAGTCTTGTTCCCAGCACTCCCAGGGCAAAAAAAATACTGTAAAACACGGAATTTTCTAGCATGTGTTTTCTTAAACTAAATTGACTGGAGCTAGAATAGAATTAGGTAGAATTAAATTGGATTTGATTTAGAGCTAAGATAGAACTGAATTAAAACCGAATTTCAATTAAACTTGTATTGAACTATAACTATAACCTACTTAAAATCAGATGAGAGTTGAATTAGGAAGGAATTGGAATTAAAATTGGAAGTTCGCCAGAATAAGATGTAAAACGCTTGAGCTACAAGATGCACAAGTCGAGGAGGCTTCGAAATTACGAAGCCGAAGCAAAAGCAACAAGCATTGAATTAGAACTACAGCTTACACAGATTCATAACAAGTTCATGTAAACTGGAAGGTATCAGTACAGTTTCATGTCAAGCTGATTGGACATGCAATTGGCAACCACATTGATACCAATCAGAAGTTAATGCACAGGCTTGTACATGGAGATTTCGACAAGGACAAAGGGAGTGGTGGGCTCAGACGCTTTCATTGTAAGAGCAAAGAACATATGCCTTTAGGTGAGACTTAGGCTCACATATTTGAAGGTTGAACGAAATAGTAAGAACACAGATTGACCTAAATAGGAAAACAATAAACAAAAAAAACCTTGAGAAAACCAATAACAACCTAGGAAAAGCCCAAAAAGAATAAACTTGGGAAAACAAAAAACAAAAAAACAAACAAAAAAAACAATTCTGGGGAAGTCTTGAGGAAAGGGGGTGGTCCAGCCAAGAGTCTCTGAGAATTGTTTTTTGTCTTTATTGTTCTTGTTTGTTTTCCCAAGGTTTTTTTACCTGTTTTTTAAAGTCTTTTTTGTTAGTTTCAATGTTCTTTTGTGTTATCTATATTTTCTCGAGACCGTTTGTGTTTGTTTTCCAGCGCAAAGGACATTGAGGCAGCTTTCACAGACACATAGCATAAATGCAGGCCACAGTGGGAA